GCAAATACGTTTACGCATGCACGTTTAATGTAACGGACGATAAGCTAAAATTATCTAATTATCTATTTCATTAATGTTGCATATTGCGTTTGTTCCTTAATCTTCGAATTGGATCCGCTTATTATTTTTTGCAGACTGTTATAGCAATTTATAAAGTAAGCTTGAACTTTTCGATTATGTCAAATAGAATTTCCGATGCTGGAGTTCCCAAAGATCTACAAGCGAAAATATGTTTCGATGTCCATCAAACAAAAAGGAATTGCTGCAAAAAATGGGTAAAGGCATGAGAAAGTGACAGAGAGGTTATGAAAACGAAAACATTTCGATTGACAAGTTAGTCTTATTCTCGGCACAGCAATTACAGGACTTGAACAGCGTAACTTTGTAACTGAACAAATTATGTCTGTTATATAGAATTAAAGAGAAAGGATATCACATAAAACAAAGCAACTTAAACAACTTACATGAAAGAATGTTTAATAAATAAACAAATAGTATTAAGCTTTTTTTTTTTTTTTTTTTTTTTTTTTTGTAAATTTTGATATCTTTAGATCATAATTGTTCTTTATTTCATAAATTACGGTTTCATATTTTTAATTTTATAATTTTCTGCATGCCATGTTTACCAGATTAAACTGATGATCCATAAATCGATAATCCGGAATCGCCAAAGTCCCCGAGTCCGGATTAACACTTTTGACTGTGTTACATATTTGCAATTATTGTTCACATGCAGTTGGAATAGCGGTTTTGTGTCAAAACTTATTTTATTTATACTTACTTTATCAGAACCGAAACCTCACGGTTAAGTTTAACTCTAAATTCGTTTCTTTCCTTTTTAGAAAATCAATTAATGAATCAATCACTCTTACCTCTGAGGAGACATACTTCATTGTCTTTCCCCAATTTGATTAATGCAGCGGGAAGTGCTTATTCCATAAAGGAAGTTAAACAACTGCAAATTTATCTTCAGTTAAACCAAGTGATTCCAATGCACAGTTGAGTTGTAACTTGTCATAAATTTAATAATCTTCTTTTGTTGTCATTGATTACCAGTTTTAATAGTTTCTTTAACATAAATTTGAATTAAAACGCTGTCATTTCCAAATCGTTTTTTTGAGATATTCCACAGCTTTTTCGTATTTTTCTTCCGTAGCATTAAAACTTTCCACTATTGCTCTTGGCGCAGTCTTGGGTTTCGTAGATTGCAGTAGCTAATGAAACTTGTCTCTCCTGTCAATGCGAGTATCTTCATGTATTTTACTAAATCTCGTCCAAAACGTCAACCAGTTTCGAGGGTTTCCATCGAACTTCACCAGTTCGATCTCAGGTAGTTTCTATTTCGCGGTCGCAACTATTCCTGATGAAGAACCGCTATCTGTTGAACCAGTAGAAGGCTGTGAACACTTATTCTTTTTTCTTTTGGCTTTTACTTTCAACATACATAATTTATTGTAATATTCTTCAGCTGCACTAAATTCCCTTTCATATTCTTGAGTACAGCCTTTTTTTGTAGAAGTTCCAAAAAAGAGTCATGCGTATTTTGTAAAGTTTTATACTTCTCTGAAATTTGATCTAAATAAATTTATAAATTGTCCAAATCCGGAGAATCTGATCGTATCAGGTCTTCCAACTTATTCGCTGTTTTCGTAAATGCACTCCTAATTGCTTTCCTCTTCTGTTTTGCTATTTCCAAATCTTCCATGTTTGCACTTGGGAACTTCTCAGTTATTTTCATAAATTATATAAACAATCAAGTGTCAAAATCGATAATGTCACCCTGTGACATCCATCCTGGCTTGGCTCGCCAATTATGTTGCTTAATAAATAACTTACACGTTAAAAAAACAGAGGCGACACTTTTTAACACCAACATTTTATTCTTTGCATCTACTATATACAAATTTTTAACGCAACTGTAAGAAAATTAAGGTGCAGCTGAAATGTAGGTGATGTCGCAAAACGCTCTCCTCGTAAAAAGGGGGGATGCCATCTGTTTGCCACAGTATCTATGTATATAAAGAAGAAAGTATGTGGGTTTGATTGCTAGTAACTCAGTCACTACTATAGCTATCATCACCAAACTTTCTACAGTTCTTTTGTGGGTCCTGGAAAAGGTCGACATCCAATTTTTTCAGGAAAAGGTAGCTAAAATCGGACATATTAATTAAAAACTTGAAAAAACGATAATTTTTGCCCTCATTTTTCCAAGTGGCAACAGTCTCACAAGCTGGAGATGAAAATCTTGTTTATTTTACAGGTTGTTGATACAGCTGGCTTTCAAATCCTAGAGTTTATTAATAAAAAATGTCTAGATTTTACAATGAAATAAAAATAAAATTTTCAAATATTAAATACATTATTCTCAATTCCAAAAATTCTTGGAAAGCCATTTTGACTATTTCCATCTTCGTACGACTTTAATCAGCCAAAATATTAATGAAAAACTCTGAAAGCACTAATTTTCGCACTCATTTTTCCAAGTATCAACAGTCTTGCACTTTGGAGATATAAATGCTTTATTTCAAAACGTGTTGCTACTGCTCACTTTCAAATCGTAGTTTGTTAATAAAAAATTTGTAAGTTCTACAAAATCTATACATATAAAGAAGAATGTTTGCGTGTTTGTTTGTCTGTTCACTTATTGATTTATGATCAATTATTTAAAATTTTTTGTCACATTTATTCGACTCACCAGAAAAGTTCAGACACAAGCATTTTATGTCCTGCTCCACCATCTTATATCCTGTACAGGCCTATGTAGCCTGTACAGTAAATTAGTTGTCTGAAGAATAAATTACCATTTTCATCAGTGGAACTTGACTTGAAAGAAACAATTATTATTATATTTTAGGAATAAAAGAATCTGAAATGTTGGCTGTTTTCTGATATTTTATTTTAATTGTGTAAATTAAATGAAATTATATGATGTAATAAGCTTGCTTTTTTTATTTTATCGTTATTTTCTGAAGATTATGAAATTTTGTTTCATAGTGAGGATCATTTATATTTAAATGTTCTTTTCCTATAAAAATAATCAGAATTAAATATGAAATATGATCTAAATATGAAAATATTAATATTTATTTCAAAAAGGAATAGTTTGGTTTTATTTTGCTTATTTATTTATTTATTCATTGTCAAAATATATTCTTAAAAAGGCATTAGCTGTTTTTTATGGTGCAAACTACTGTTAGTCACTAAATTTTTAATCAGCCACCCTTTCAAATTTTTTCTTTGTTTCTGGTACATCAAATATGAAAGGAGTAAACAATTGGGAAGAAAACATGTGCAAAAATAAAATCAATCAAAAAGAGAAAATTTTCTAAAAATATGTTTTAAAAATGAAAATATTTTGTTCCACATAATTGTTCTCATGTAGTGTACAGTTTTCATAAATGCATCGAAAACTGATTGGAAAAGGAACACGCTAGTGTAAAATTTAAAATTATGAAAAAAAAAATGTTTTATTATGAAGGATCTACATCAAACTGCCATTAAATTCAATGTAGTTTCATTCAGCATTTGCACCAGTCTTAGGCTGTTTTATTGCCTAGTTTTGAATTCAGTTCTAGCAAAGGACAGAATTACTTCATTATAATATAAGCTAGCATTATTAGAAGTAAACCTGCATTGTATTGATAGTAAAGGTTTCTCTAAAAGAAACAAGCATTTGCATCAAATAAAAGAATTGTATTCTTGTGTATATAATTTCAATCTTCAAAATCTATTTTTATGTATTTCAAAAGCAGTGAACAGTATAAAAAACTGCAAAATATGATAGATTGTGTACAAAAAATAAATACACATCACCATAAGTAAGCATGAAGATGTAAATCAGGAACATAATGTGTATTTTATGAAGGGAAAAAAATTAAAGTGCTTTTATAAAATTTTCTTCTCTTTAAATTTTTTAGTTAAATTAAACTTTTTATTGGGGATAATTATGTGGTATCTGTGGAATCCAAATTTTTAGCTTCAGATCATTGTCTTTTTATTGTGTGGATTTATATATGCAGAAAAGAAGCAATCTATGTGAATTTAATTTTAGTCAGGTAGCAGTCTTCCCTGTTCCCAAGATGTGGCCCTAAAGGAAACTAACATAATAACATTAAATTAAATACTGCTTCCAGGTTAAAACAAATTAAGCATTTTGGTGCCTGATAATTAAAAAGTACCATTTTTATTTGTATTATATCACTTTTCATGTTCATTCTTAATCTTAATTTATTTTTTAATTATAAAATTTCTTTACTGATAATTTAAGTTGTTTTCTTTTGAATGCAGAATTTACATTTGCATTTAGCAAAAGTATCATCAAAGAAACAGTAGCCTTGTTGTATCCAAAATGTGGTATGTTGAATCTTGTTGTAGGTAAGAAGTATTGTACTGGGTAGATGGTAGATATTTATCTCTCACTTTATCCCTCTTTTTTATAATATATAGTACAGTCAAACTTCTCCTAGTGAGCACTTCTCATTACTAGGTAGTTATAAATACTTGGATCTTTAAAGTAAAAGATCAGGACACTTCCATTTATGGGATACTCCCTGTTAATGGACAAAAGCCTTGTCTTATAAGTTTCTACTAATGGTAGATTTGACTGTAATTGTAAATTTTAGATTATTTGTACTCTAGGGTTAAACTAATTACTCGCATAAGAGAAAAAATTCCCTAACAATTATTGTTTTTAGTTTGAGTTTTTGAAAAGGTTTCCAGCTTTTACCCAAATTGTTATATGTTTTATCCAATTTTTCTTTCTTTCTTTCTTTTTTGGTGAGTTTCAACAGAATTAATTTTGCAAAGAAATTTTGATCTGTTAGTTAAGTAAAAGATATATTTTATACGTATTTTAGCATCAGTAAATTATGTAATCAGTATATGAAATGGAACTAAATCTAGCAAACATATTAGAACCAATCAATAATGCTTTTGATATGACTTAAAAGTAGTCATTTTAATTTAATGAACTAACTAAATATTTTTCTGACTTTTTACAGGTGTTTATGGTTAGCATTCCACAGTTATGCATACATATACCTCCTACATCATTGCCAAAAGAACTTGGAGGCAGCTTTCATGTAGATCATAAAGCATGGCTACAGCATTGTTTGAAATCAACAACAAATCGGTACCTTGATGAAGTATCTGAGTCAGTTAGTCCTACTTTACAAAATGGACCTCTACCATTTAATGGTATAATTTCAGAAAATGGTGTTATCCATATAAACTCAAGTTATAATGATAGTGAAATGGACATAGATGAAACAAGTGAACGTCAAAACTCAGTGCATGAAAAATACAATTCAGAAGAGAGGGAAAAAGAGGTGGAAGTCTTAAAAGAAGACTTACTACAAGTATCAGTTGTAAGTGGAATACTTTTACTTTTTTTAGATTTAAAATGTTGATATTATTGGGAGCTATGGGTTCGTGTATGTCTCTTTAAATGTTGAAATTTATTATTAGTTATAAAATCATACACCAGAATAGGCCCAAAAGCAGTTGAGCGGTAAAATTGTTGAACACTAACAGTTCAGTTGGGGTTTCAGCAAACAGGCTGACTGCAAGCCACTTTTGTGGTTTTCACCATGTGTAATGTGTATACAAGAAAGTTCCCCTTAGAAAGTCCTCCTTGAAGGCATCCCTTCCCTTAAGCAAATAGCTCTGAAATGCTTTTCTGTAATATGATAAACTAGAGCAAACTATACAGCAAAATAAATAGCTGTAAATAACTCAAGGAGAATGCAGATATTAGGCATCCTTATCACTGTTTATAATTTCAACAGTGGCGCACAATGAATTGGAAGTTGATCTATCAGCACTATCCTTATCTTCAGGGCAGATGTTTTTATTTTATTTGGCTTATAATTCCTTACTAAATGTAGTATTTCATCTCGATGTACTCCGTCTTTGATGTGATTTAAATCAAATTCCTCGTCATTATAATTCGCTTCCGATAGGCAATATTCGATAAAGGCATGAAGAAAGTGACACAGAGGTTATTGAATATGAAAAAATTTCGATTGACAAATTAGTTGGTATTCTCGACACAGCAATTATAGGACTTGAACAGCGGAACTTTGTAACTGAACAAGAAATTATGTCTGTTTATAGAATTAAAGAGAAAGTATTATCACATAAAACGAAGCAACTTGAACAACTTACATTGAAAGAAAGTTTAAATAAAGTAACAAATAAATATTAGGCTTTTTTTTTTGTTTTTTTGTTTTGTAAATTTTGATACCCTTTAGATCATAATTGTTCTTTATTTCATAAATTACGGTTTCATATTTTTAATTTTATAATTTCTGCATGCCATCTTACCAGATTTAAACTGATGATCTATAATCCGGAAAAATCAATAATCTGGAATCCGACGAGTCCGGATTAACGACTTTTGACTGTACCCACACTGCTGGAAGTGCCCATTGATATAAGCCCACATAATCAAAAGGAAACATGAATTTTATCACATGTATTTATAATTGTAATCATGATAAGTAAGTGGAGTATCAGGTCTCAGGTCTGAATTTTAATGTCTTAAAAATATGTTTGTCTGTAGATATTAATACTTTATTTGTTTACTTTATTAAGTAGCAAATAGACTTTCTGCTTTAAGTGATTAGCTGTAATGTTTCAATGATAAATCTGAAAATGTATTTTATTATTTATTTATTTAATTTTAGTATGTGTTTGTGAAAACGAAAAATATCATTGTGAAATTCCTTACGTCTTATTTTTAGCATTATAAGGCTTAGATTAAATATAATTAAAATTCATTGTGAAAAAACGGTCAAAATGGTATTTAACCAAAGAACAGGGAAAAAAATAAAAAATGTATTTTATAGATATGGCAAGATATTTTAAGCCTCTGTTAGTTTTTTGAACTCAAATGTTGAGTAGTAACTTCTTAGACTTGGGTATGCTGACTATAAGTAGCATTCCCTTTATTTAATTGCCATTATTTGAAATCATTTTAGAGGCCTACATCAAGAAATGTGTGAAAGAAGTCATTAATCTGCATTGTCAAAATTTTCTTTCATTTTAAAGAGAGATTATTTCTCAAAAAATGAATCAGCATAATGATTTTTCTTAGCCACCCTGGGATAGATTTGTTTACAGTATAACAAATTTTTTCCAGCTTACACTATTTTTTTTGGGGGGGGGAAGGGGGCACTTGTACAAATTTGAGTACAGTCACCTCAAATTATGGTAATAAATATGCATCATGTTATTAGAGTTTTTAAAGATTACAAATAACTATACATTTACTTTTAATAAAATTTTGTAATTATATGAATATCTATTTATACGAGTCATATAATTCAAAGTTCATCATTTTTAGATTCGAAGTATACATATTACATAAATTCATCATTAATTAATTATATTATTTATAATAATACAAAATTGTTATTAATGTTTCAAATTGTAATTTTCAATAATTTGTCTTGAATTTGGTGTATATTAAATGCACTTGGGTATCAGTTATATACAATGAAAAAATATACAGAAAACTATTATTCGTATATAACAGCTGATTGTGAAAGAAAAATTACAGTTATATTGCTCTTAAATCTCCTTTAATGTAAATATTCATTTTATAATTAATATTAGATTAAATTACTTCCATTATCTGTTAGAAAATAATTATAGTGAATTATCTATTGCCGACATTTCCAAGAAGTCGCCTTCTGAAAGCAACCTGTATTTTTGAGAAGATAAACAAACATTGGCAGTAAATATCACATTTCTAAGACTACCACATCTATGGAAATCCAAAGTCCTTTAAAACTATGAATAATCACATTTAAAGAGGGCTGTCTGTGTTTTTAATTAAGCATGTACATTAATTTTTGTTATGCATTTGTTACATTTTTATTTTCCATCAGAGCAGTGGAACAGTGGTCCTACTGCTTTAGAAGTTAAAAAAAATGGGCAGTATATAACAAAACATTTAACTAGATTCAGTTCTACTGCTAAAATAGGGAATTATGGCTTTAAAACGGTTAAGAAATATTTTCAAATCATCTTCAGTAATATTTCATTCTTTTCATTTTTCAGTCATTTCAAGAAATAGACTAAAAATGCAGGAATATTATATTTTTTTTAATTTCAGCCAACGTTTTAGATATTGTTATTTTTTAGTAAATAACAAAAATGTCTAAAATCCTCTTTAATTTATTTTTCCCCAACCTCTAATGGTTTTCCTCTCAGGCCATTCTTTGGCACTCAAGGTTAGAAAGAGGTTAAAGCAATTAAGCAAAGCTGTGCTGTCTTAACTGCTTTTTCACACAGATAGGAGCAAACGAAAACCAACATAAATGGTTCCCCACTTGAATAGCCAGCAGCCTGTTAGAAAACTGCATGACAAAAGCCCACAAGGTGAATGCCCACTTAAAAAGAGCATACATTTTCAGGAAATCCAAAATAGTTGACTTCCTAAAAAATTTTACAAGTAATAATTATTATGATTAAATATGAAATTTCAAATGGGAATGAAGTTAATTTATGTAAAATCGAAGTAGTTAAAATTTAACTAATTTTCTGTTAAAATAACTAATTTCTTAAAAATTTTCTGAACTGTTAAATAATTTATAAATTATTCTCTGTACATGACGAAATATACATGCATTTTATACATCTTATAATTTTGTAAAATTAAAAGAAGCAATGTGGCCAGCATTCTCTTTCACCATCCTTTGTCGGACTTATATGAGGGGGCACTTCTTGTGTAAATATAATAACAACGTGACTCATATGTTTTTAATTACATTAATTTTATTTTAATTGACTCTCTTTTATGTATACATATATGGTTTTAATTCAGCCAGAGCCCAAAATAAAATATGTTCTGTTACTTAAATTTATTGTTCAGTTATTTGTTATTAGTTTAATTTAGTTTATTTTTTTTTCATGAATCTGCTTTGTGTAACTGAAAAAAATCTGATGGGGATACCACAACTTCCTTGTATGGCCTATTAAATTATACACATTTTTTGTTGCATTTCATTTAAATTCCTTGAATTTCATTAGAGATAAATTTCTCTTTCAGTTAGTTCAGTTCTTACTTCACGGCTAAGCAAAACTATATAAAAACTCAAAACATTTTCATTAAAAATTGTAAAATACAGAAAAACACAAAATACGGTTAAAAGAGTTTAAAAAAATTCTACAATTAAAGTTAGAGTTTCTATTCAAAAACAAGCAGTTTGGCTATTGAGCAAGAAGGCAGATTTTTCGATGCACAAAACTGAAAATTTTCTTTTGATCCCACTTGTGAAAAAGATAGTGAAGGTGCAGAAATTGACTTAATTCACTATTGTACTGAGGTTCAAATATGAACAAATGGTTAGACTTTACTCGCCCACTTAAACTTTTCAGTTGTTGATAATTCTACAGCTATTCCATGAGTAAAAGTGTAAAAACTTTAACTGGAACATAAATACCACATAATGCTATCATTTTTAAAGAAAAAAAATGCACAATTTAGCAACATATAAGGAAAAAAAAAAAAAAAAAAAAAAACTAAGTTCACTGAGCCAGGTAATGATTGGTACAGCGTATTGCAACGAAAATGAGAGGTGCACAGCTACATGTTATAGCAGTCTCATATACAAAATCTCAATGTTCTGTGGTTACTCGTCCTTGATTTATGTGAGATATATATGTGCGTACAGATGTCAAGAAAAAATCTCTTTTGAATCCATTTTAAATGCAATTTACAATCCTTTTTGGCAAAAGCATTGCTTTATTATGTTTGTATTTACAGATGTCACAAAAAAAAAATCATTCAAATGATTTCGAGAGCAGTTGAAATATGATAACTGAAATTTTTCGTGATTACAGTACTTCCTTTATTTCATATAAGGAACTAAAAGGGGAAAATATTAATATCAAGATAGCCTTTGCTTCGATGTGGGCTTATATCAATGTGTCAATTAAATCTTATCTGGTCTTTTATCAGTGTGGGTATTTGCTGCATGGGCAATAATTATAGTGGATGTTTTTTATTTATTTATTTATTTATTTTGGTGGGCTTTTGTCTGGTCACTCACCAGGGTACTGATGGTGGGTTGAATTTCCAGATATTCTTTTTTTCTTAAATATGAATTTCTGCAATTTGGACCAGTCAACTGAGTTTAGTTTGTGATGTATTCCCACAAAAATTGTTTTATTGTAGGGACAGATAATACTTTAAACCTCTTCTTGCAATAAATTTTTTAACTAATTAATATCTACAATAATCTTTTAGCTAAAATTTTTAGAAACTATCAGTAGACAATGACGTTATTAGTTTAATGTGAACAGCTGAACAAATGGCACAAGTAAATAATGCTTTGCAACTATTAGATCCATTTTTTTTAAGCAGGAGACTGCAAAGATGCACTCCTGTATGACTTACTAAATGTTCTCAAAACAGTCTTCTCATAAAAAATCTCCAGATGCATTCTCTGGTTTCGCACTGAATATTTTACAAACAGAACTTGTCTTTATAATTTTCTCAACAATTTTCCTGCTCTTCAGTGCCCAATAATCTTCTCACAGTGTTAATGTTAAATGCAGCATTAATTGTCCTGAATTTATAATTGTTGATAAAGGCTGTTGTTGTTTGTCTTTCTTCTCATGTGAAAACTCTTATTGGACTTTCTTCAAAATAATCTTTTCTGCTTTCTCAATTTCATCTGTTGTAAATGTCCCTTTGCTTGTTTTGACAGATCTTTTGTATAACTGAAGAGTCTATAAATCCATGCTCTAATTTCAATCATCTTCTTGTTTAAAGATGTTTGATAGAAGAAATCTGTTTTCTTTTTGAATTTTTTATAGTTTTTTGGTTTGGCATCAGTTTATTAATATTTGGCCATTCATCTCCTGAATATTTTAGCCAGATGGGCTCTTTTTTTTTTAGTTAGTTGTTTTACTGAACATCCTTGTGATATATCAGCTGGGCTTTATATTCATAGTGCATTTCCATTCATTGTCAAATTTCTACTTCCTGTTACCCTATTAGGAAAAAATATGCCCCAATTATCCTTTTCTTAATCCAATAGAGGACATACATTGAATCAGAGCAGAGAACATTTCTATGTAGTCTATTTTTAGATCCTTTCTATCAATGTTTGTTAATCTTGCATTGATGTTGCAAGCAATTCTTTATTGAATATAGTTGCTTGTTTTAAGAAGAGCTAGCTTTGTTTCTAGCACTAGTTGGCAAGTTACTAGATTTCTTGCTTCCGTCTTCAAAAAAATATATGTAGCATATAATGACTGTCATGCATCACAGATAGCCATCATGTGGTGTATGTAACAGTAAATTTTCTTGTCAGAGTTCTAAAACTGACGGTCTTTGAGAAATTTAAATCTTCTTGATAGCTGATTTTTCCATTTCTATTATTTACTTGTAGTCTCTAAGGGCAATTCTGAGTTCCACAAGGTTTTGATTTTCCAACAATCTTGTAACAGCTTTGGTATTAGTGTGAAGGGGCAACTGAAACTGATGAAATAAAAATTTTTATATTAAGGAATCTTTCTTTTAATTATTGTATCTTTTCTTTGTCAGCAAATATCTTTATGTCAATAGATAATGTATCGCCATAGGAATTCCAAGATATTTCTAAATCTGGAATGTCTTTTCCTTTACAGTCAGGATGAAAGTGGATGAATATGCTCCTAGCTCTGTAGGGCAAATTCAGCTGAAATCAACATTTTCTGAGATTTGGAATAGAAAAGATTAAGCTCTTCAAAAAAAATCCACGCTAGTTACACAATACGAACATACATTGAATCCTTGATTTTTCTTGTTAATTCTTCTTTTTCAGGAGTTTGATCTAAATGGCGTGTCAGTGAAGTGACTGGATTAAAAGAGCGGCAGAAAAGACCAGATAGTACAATGGCAATGCCTATAACAAATTTCAGAAGCTAGATTCCCATCTTGCCATTTTAAAACCTCAGAAATGTTGTCATTTTTATATAAGCCTATTTTTAAAAAAGGCCTTTCGGATATCCTCTGTAATTCCTTTCTTTCCTCATTTAAAATGGTTCAATACTGATGGAATGAGTTCAATCAAGTTAGGTCCCTTTTTGATACAGTGATTGAGAGTTGCAGAATTATGAGTTTTAGCTGATCTATCAAAAACTGGTCTTATATTAGTAGTGGTATTTTCTGATGTAAGAGCTTGATGTGACAAAAATTGAACATACAAGTTCACATCGTTATTCAAATCCTCCCTTGAATTTACCTTCTCAATAATATTTTCACTTTCTCATTCATTAAAGGGTGAATAAGGGATCTTGTCTAGAAGTCTTTTCCTAGATAAAGCTTTGTTATCTAACAATGGTGGAAGATTTCCAGCCATGGAGTTCTTACTTGATATCTAGCTTCTTCATCTCTATTAACAATTTCATTAAAATTTTCAAAAGCAAACTCTTCTAATTCCATTTTTGTTTTCTTTTTAATAGAATTAGTTATTTGTAAAGAATCTAAACTTTATAGATCTGATATCTTAGCATTGCTAACATGAAGAGAGTACTTGCAAGTAACTGTCTATGGAGTTTTTGCTATCAAAATATTAGTCATTTTGATATTTGACGATATTCTAGCAATTTAAAAAAGTTCTAATTTAATGTGTATGATTTAAAATGCAAATTTAGCAGCATATTATCATGAAAAGGTATAATGCTGATGAGCCATATATATATTGTTGAGAAGTTTGGTGGTAGGATAATAAGAGTGAAATATTCCCAGATCAATCTCCCCCCACATTTTCCATTAACATTGAGGGAGTTACACAGTTAGTGCAGTGGTAACTGTACATTTAAACCACTGACGAAATTCTTGTGTCCTGTTGGCATATTATCTATTTTCAGGTAGTTCTTTTAGGAACACAAATTTTATCATATCTGTTTATCCAGTGAGCATAGATACTTAAAAGTCTCCTGAAGTTTTGTATTTTTGTATATTTTCCATTCCTACAGTTTTGTATTTTTGCATTATGTATATACATTTAAAAAATGGAAATAGTGACAAGATGCTTTTAAAAATTGTAGATGTGTGGTCTGAGAGCTCATTAATTAAATATTATTTTTCTTCATCATCATGGTTAAGTTGGTTTTTAGTTAATCAAAAACTAGTTATTTGGGATTTTATTGTATTTAAATAAGGTTTTTAAAATTTTCCTATCCTGCTTGAAAATAATTTTCATGTGCAAGAAATTATTGTTTGCTGAAATGTGATCATTCTGCTTTTCTTAATTGGAATATAGTTCATATTTTTAATAGCTTGTATATCAGGCTATATCTCATTGGGTGGGTGAGGTATCCTCCCCCTAAAAATGGCAATTTTTCTTCCTGTCGTATCAACTATATGCAAGCCTTACAAACTATCTTAAAAATGTTTTGTTGCAAATGTGTTTTTCAATGTGCAGATGTAGTTCATGTCAATCTTTTACCCTATTCAAATATTTTGTTTGATGACTATATTAAAAAATTTTGCGTACTTCTGTTTGATATGAAATAATGTAAGTAATTTCCATTTTCTTCATGTACTGTATGCAAAATTATAATGTGATCTTTAAGAAAACTGCAGTTAAAATTAACATATTATGCTATCTTCTTTATAACTCATGCCATAATTAACATTAATTCCATTTATTACATACTATTTGAAAATCATAACTAATTTGTCAGTTTGTTAAGCAGGATATTATAAATATCCCCCTAGGTCCATATTTTATATGCAGATGATTGGGAATTAAGTATTTTAAATGCAAGTTATATTCACAAATCTTTCAAATTAAGTTTGCTGTGGTATGTATCAATTATTTTTAGCATAGTTTAGAATCTGATTCAAGCATACCTTAACATATCGAGATTAGGTTTTGGCAAATCACAATAAAGTGAGATGTGAAATTTTGGGCTTCTCCTAATATATGCAAGTTATGTTACATGACTCGTATTAATATATATTGCATGCAATGGGGCTCATAATAGATTGGATGCACACAAGTTTGATGATAGGTTGATAAAATTTATTTTGCCAAAAGAAACACTTAACAGTTCTGAAACTTCCACAAAAATAGTCATTCTATCTGTGTACAAAATTTGTAACATTATATATAGAGCTCTTCCACCACCTCTTATAATTTACGAGCTTGCTGAAATATCACTTTGCTTCGCTTTCACAACTTTGCTATAAGATTATATGAGGGCTACCTTTCTAAGCATTCATTCCAGTATCTTTTTAAGATTCATCAAAGTCAAGTTTTGATTTAAAATTAAATACATATGACATTTTATGTTGGGTAAAGGAGTTGTACAATTATTAGCATCTTTAATTTGAGGAGAATGTCAGTGAAGAAGTCTGAAATGTTGCAAGAATTAAGTCAAATAGATAATTTTTATGTCAAATGGAAAATTTACTGAAAAATACTCTTTGGGAAAAAATAAATTTATAAGATGCAGTAGACAATTAGTTAGTAGTAGTAAAGATGTAGTAGACAAATAGTTAGAAATGTTTTAAGATTTGAATAGTCAGTGCTGTATTACATATGTGGAGAACATCACAGGGTTATTATTTGCCTTAATTTCAGTGTAATAATAATGGAAAAGTTTGAAGTACTGGGAAATTCACCAAAATGTGAGTTAGAACCACAAAGCAAGCAGATGTATTTGACAAATTTAGGTCAAGTTAGGTTAATTGATTAAGGCAGAATTATTGATTAACTTGGGTTAGTTATTACCTTAGGCTAGTTGTAATTGATTAGGCTAGTTGTAATTGATTAACCTAAGGTTAGGTTAATTGATTAAGGCAAAGGAACTCTAGGGCTATCTGCCTATAGGGCAGAATGCCTACATGAAGTACTTTTTAAGGGAAGTCTCCTATCCACGTTACACATGGGGGAAACCACAAAAGCAACCATGCAGCCAGCATGTTCACTGGGATTCGATACCAAGTCAAAGTTTCAGCGATGTTATCGCTTGGCTGCCGATGGGTCAGAAAATTTAAGAATTAAGTGTATTTCCTAAATTTCCATTAGGCAATATATTCCAATAATGGGGGGAGTATTTTATTCAGCTTTTTCCCCCTTCTCTTTTTATTTATTATTATTATTATTATTATTATTATTGCTGAAATCTAAATATTTTTTTATATTATCTGAACCATTAGTTTCTTTGCATTAGTATGTTAAACAGAAAGAGACCCCCCCCCAAAAAAAATTAACTTGGAGATGACAGAATATAAAAATTGACATGTCTTGCTTTAATATTTTAAATTTATTTAGAAATTAATGGAAATTAAAATATTTTAATGTATGTCTGGTGCTTTATGCTTAGAAAGGCAATGAAGAACCCTGTCCTCTGACTCCAGAATCTGGTGTAACAGATTTTACTGAAGATGAAGAAAAGCATTTATCAAGCAGTTGTGCATCTCTGTCTATATGGGAAGATTCTGTCCATTCTGAAAATTGCTGTGGTATGTCTTTAGAAGAGTTTATTGAACATTTACGCACAAAAGGAAGAAAGGGTCTGTATCAAGAATATGCAGAAATAAAAGCTGCACCACCCGAGGGAACATTTGAAACATCCAAGTAATTTTTATTTTCCTTGTCTTGTAAGATAAAGACAAATATAAAAAGGGAATAAGACCTATAAAGATAAAGACATAAGAATATACATTAAAAAAGGCTAATTTTAAAATCATACTCCTATATTTATTATTGCAATTATTCATGTCTGTTACACCACTGTTATATGTTTTATAGATTATTAATATTCAGTTTAGTTCCATCCCTTAAAATTTCTGTATTGCTGTGCTTATATGCTTGATTATATTGTATTATAATTTTTACTGTATTAAAAGAGAACTATGTTTCCCTGACTTTTTTGGGGGGAGGTGTATGTGTGTGTATACATATATGTGTGCGTAAGATAAAATATGTAAATCAGTTTTATAATTTAATTCAGCAGTAGTTCTTAATTCCTTATTTGTAATTAGGGTATTTCCTCTATATTTATAAAAATAGTAACATTTCTGGACTGCATCATTTCTAAATCAGTCCATCTTGTATGACGTAACTAATTCGGAATCTGTGCTCAAAATTTTAAGAACTGAAACTTACTTTTAAAAAGCAGTTTAAACCAAAACTTTCTCTTGGTGAACCTCCATATTGGATAATTGCACTTTAACTTTTACCTCTCTTTATGCTAAGATGCTTTCCACTCTACTGTCTTTCTATGGCAATAGTATCAAAAATGTAAATGTTCTTGAATAGGCGTGATTAGAATGCCAAATAAATTGTGGCTGCAAATGTCAATTGAGATAAAGTTGAATAATTAATCTTACTTGGCTGCCAAGTTTCCTCTTCAGTATGGATCTATATTCTATGCCATCAGCATTGCTGTCTTCTTCATGATGCCTCTAAACTCATGGTACATACATTAGAGATGATAGAACACAACTGGACAAGCACAAATAGCCACACAACTTATAGTTGGAACTCAAAGGGCAAGATATCCTGCATCATCAAGAGATGCAGATGCTAAAAAAAATGACCGTCACAATGAGAAAAAAGTAGTCAAAGACAAAATGAAAAGACACCAGCAAAATAAAAAAAAAAAAAAAAAAAATTATTTAACAAAATAAAATTAAATCCTCAGTCACAGCAACTACTGAAAATGGTGCTCACCAACAGTAATGCAAATTTGATACCGTTAATGGATTGACTGGCCAACATACCAGATATCTCTCATATGATTCCAGCAGCTACTGGTATCTGGCCAACAAGCTTTTGATCCGAATCAGTGGGATCTCCATCGTAGTTGAGACTCCTCAATTGACCCCAGAGGGCTTTAAGTGACAGTTGTGTTCAAATCACTGGTGTCTTTTGATGTTTGCTCCAGTGCTTTAAAGAATATCTCTCACAAAAACACAAGGTATCAGTATCCATCCAGGTGACTTGGCAGTAGGTATGGTCTAATCAGATGGGCATATATGTTTCTGTCCCAAACATTTACTTGGAAGCCATGCTGGAGTGGCCATAGGCTCGTGGTGTGTGGGTTGTTGCATAGACATGATAGTTTTGGATATTCAATATCCCTAAGTCCTTGAATGTGCATTCGTCAGTGAATAATACATGTGCTGAAAAGTCCAGATCCATAGCACTCTGTTGTAAAAACCTCATGGCAAATGCAACATGGGGTGCGTAATCTGTATTTGACAGCTCTTGAACCCTTTGCATATGGTAGAGATACATTCATTCTTCTCAAAATGCTTGCCACACCATCTGATGGGACACATTAACAGCTTGTAACCATACCCATATGCTACATTAAGAGTGAATTCTCATATGCTGCAAAATGTTTTACATTACTGTTGGTGTTCTTACACTCTTTTTATGCCCAATATCCTCCCTGCAACTTGAAAAGGACATTCTTCTGCACAGTTGTTGGTGCAGTCATTGAAAAGTTCTATCATGTGGAAGATGTTGTTGGAAAACACTCTTGGTACAGTCTTGCAACTTTCTTTGCATTCTCGTGTGCAAAACCTGTAGATGTAATGCATTTTGACCTTCTGATTCATGTATGCATCTATTTACTTGATTACCCACTGCACAACTGAAGTTAAAAACTTTTTTATTGCATTTGCAGATTATTTAGTAACAGTTGGTATGAAAGCACAGATGAGAATTCAATTTTGTTATGTGAATGTCTTTAGCCAGAAGACGTAGCTGGTAAAAGCCAGTGAAACCACGGAGCTTTAAAACATGAGTTTCAACCATTGATTGTATGGTAATTTGTGCTTGTCCAGTTGTCTTCTATCATCCTCTAACATATGTACCATGAGTTCAGCGACACCCTGTATACATATTATTTTAGTGGATACAAGCCGATTTCCCTTGGAAAGCCCTCTACAATAGGGTCCATGTCCTTAAGCAGACAGTCCTCATGTGCTTTGCAGTAAAAAAATAAGCCATGTATACAATAAACCAAATGGATGCTGCTTGAACATTTTTGTGAAGTTGTACAATTTGAATATTCAAAGTGCAAGAAACATGAATTCAATTTTTATGCTGTGATTGTAAATTTAAGCAAAAGATAAGAGATGTGGAGAAGTTAAAAGAATAAATTTGAAATGTTGAAATTCTTTTAATATTTTAATTTTTATTTATCTATCAATTAACAGGCTATTTTGAATGCTTAAATTATAATATTGCATTGCTCGCAAAAAACTTAGTCTTCTCCTGTTCTTTTTTAAATGTACCTCAGTTTCTATCATGTCTTTTGTCCTTCTAAATCTACATATATTTCAGGAACTATGCATTATGTAACAGATTCAGATTGTTTTAAAATGTGTAGCATAATATACAGTCAAAAGTCTTTAATCCGGACTCATCGGGACTTCGGCGATTCCGGATTATAGATCATCAGTTTAAATCTGGTAAGATGGCATGCAGAAATTATAAAATTAAAAATATGAAACCGTAATTTATGAAATAAAAAGCAATTATGATCTAAAGGGTATCAAAATTTACAAATAAAAAAAGGCTTAATGTTTATTTGTTTACTTTATTAAACATTTCTTTCAACGCGCGCATGCGTAAAGCATGCATTACGGATAGTTGAAATTAGAAAATTGCAACCAGAAAACTATTTGATGTGTACTCGTGATATTTATAATGATGAGGAATTTGATTTAAATCATATCAAAGATGGAATACATCGAGATGAAGCACTACATTTAGTAAAGAATTATAAGCTGAATAAAATAAAAACATCTGCCCTGAAGATAAGGATAATGCTGACAGATCAACTTCCAGTTCTTTGCGCGCCGCGACGTTCTTGAAAGTCGGTACTTCAGCGATTCCGGATTATAGATCATCAGTTTAAATCTGGTAAGATGGCATGCAGAAATTATAAAATTAAAAATATGAAACCGTAATTTATGAAATAAAGAGCAATTATGATCAAAAGGGTATCGAAATTTAAAAAAAAATAGCTTAATATTTTTTGTTTACTTTATTAAACATTTCTTTCAACGCGCGCATGCGTAAAGCATACATTACGCATAGTCAAAATTAGAAAATTGTAACCAGAAAACTATTTTATGTGCACTCGGGATATTTATAATGACGAGGAATTTGATTTAAATCATATCAAAGATGGAATACATCGAGACGAAATACTACATTTAGTAAGGAATTATAAGCTGAAAAAATAAAAACATCTGCCCTGAAGATAAGGATAATGCTGACAGATCAACTTTCAGTTCTTTGCGCGCCGCGACGTTAAGAACGTCGAGACTTCGGCGATTCTGGATTATAGATCATCAGTTTAAATCTGGTAAGATGGCGTGCAGAAATTATAAAATTAAAAATATGAAACCGTAATTTATAAAATAAAGAGCAATTATGATCTAAAGGGTATCAAAATTAAAAAAAAAAAAAGCTTAATATTTATTTGTTTACTTTATTAAACATTTCTTTCAACGCACGCATGCGTAAAGCATACATTACGCATAGTCGAAATTAGAAAATTGCAACCAGAAAACTATTTGATGTGTACTCGTGATATTTATAATGACGAGGAATTTGATTTAAATCATATCAAAGACAGAATACCGGGTGGCCATAATTAAACTGACAGTGCTCACAGTGTTCTGTAGTGCGATCTATTTGCGAGAATGTTGCCACATTTTGTAGGAATATTAAACAAGACGGGGAACGAAGGATTCCGCAAAAAAAACAAATTAGTTCCAAAAGTCACCACTAGGGGAATATTTGGCACTGTGTAATAGAAAATAGAGTGTTAACAAATGCAAATCAATATGGAAATTGCCTTTTATTTTGCATTCAAATGAGGTTCAATGTAGCTGCCATTGTTGTGGACCACATATTGCATTCTGTGCATAGTATGCACAACAGCAGAAAGTAACATGTCTGCAGGAATCTTCCGTACAGTCTGTGATATGTTATCCTTCAACGTAGCCAGGTCCTGGACCACTCCTTGATAGATCTTGGACTTAAGGTAACCCCATAGCCAGAAGTCACATGGGGTAAGATCAAGCGATCGAGGTGGCCATGCAGTTGGAAAGTAGCGGCTAATGACTCTTTTCTGTTGTGAATTACTGTCATAGCATCTGTTGCACCCTTACAGCAACGTGTGAAGGGGCTGCATCTTGCATAAAAATGATTTTCCTTACGCAATTTCTTTGCTGAAGTGCCAGAATGACAAAGCTGTTCAACATGTGACGATATTTCTCTTTGGTAACAGAACATGTTTCCGGTCCTGTCGGGGTAATGTTCTCATAGAAGAATGAACCTACAATAAATTCCGCTGTGAACCCACACCAAACAGTTACCTTTGGTGAATGTAAGGGAATTGCTGTGACTGCATGTGGTGATTTGTCATCCCAAATTCGGCAGTTCTGGGTATTCACAGTTCCATTCAGGTAAAAGTGGGCCTCGTCTCCCCATAAGATTTTCCATGGCCAAGTATCATCGACCTCCATTCTGGCAAGAAAGGTGAGAGCAAAAGTCAATTGCTTATCATGGTCGGGGTACAGTAACTCCTGTACACGGCTGATCCTTGT